CAAAATGTAACCACTCTGACCCTTTGTGGTTAAATCTTTTCTCCACCAATTTTAGGTGGTGGCCTCTAGTCTTTGTTAGGGAGTTTACAGTAAAAAGTTTATTGCTTATGTTACCATCACCCCTAAACATTTTCTACATCAAAATCATGTCCAAGATGTGTAAGAACATATAACACCATCTGTTCCAATAAGCTGGAGTCAAAAGCACCTTGTGGTCCATAACAAGTAGCCACAAACTTTAAATACACTATACAATCTAATTGTATAATCTCCTTTGGGTCTACCATCAACTATGTAGTACAAAGGCCTGCCTGATTGGACATAAACTGAAGTCTTGTTTAGATCGGTCCTCATATTATATAATTTTGGTAACTCTAAAGGAGATTCTACAGAAATGGATTTAGTGTATTGGCAACTATATATGTTATCATGTGTTTATAGCGAATCATTGTTTTATCTTTATATACATCGGCAGTCTTACATTTCTGCCACCACTAGAGGGCGCACACTGCATGGCAAACCAACACTGAAAATAGGATCGTCGGCTATCACAACAATAACAATGGACAGTCTTTGGGCTTTAAATAATCACACACAACAGAGTTCTGACAAAAAAAACTTTAATAAACAATATTTTTCAAACAGTTTACAAAATAGCATAAAATAGAAGTGGTTTTTAAAATAACTTTGGTCATTTAAATCAAACTCTTGATATATCTAGAAGTACTTTTGTATACTTTACCCATCTATATACAGTGTATATCTATATTTCTAAATTGTGTGCTACTCAAAAAGCCCGACTGATTATTTACAGCCTGATCATTGCGCTAAAAGCTCTGTGACCTAAAGACATTGAGGAGGGAATTAATAAAAAGTGTCTGACGACACAATGATTATTATACAGGGTTTATATAGCACCGGGAGTTTGCGCAGCGCTTTACAATATAAGAAAGGCATTACAGTTACAAGACAAGATGGTAAGGCGGGCCCTGCCCGTGAGGGCTTACAGCTCCATCTCAATGGGTACAGTTGCCCATAGCAACCACTCAGCTTCTACCTTTCACTTTTCCACGCAGCTTAGAAAATGACAATGTAAAAGCTGATTGGCTGCGCTCCAGTTGAGACCAAGTTTGTCTCAGACACTTTTTTTTAAAATCCCCCCCCCCATTATGCCCACCTAACTAAAACCCTTTGCTGTCCTGTATGTAGATTTATACATATGAAATCAGACACACAGTTAAGATTGTTCTGTATTCTCTAAGAGACGAAGTAGAACTGCAGCCTCATTTTTATTTTAGCTTTGGAGGGGTTATAACCCCCATCTGCTTTTTTGGCATCTGTGTCCCATTGGAGAGATTTCCCTTCACTTCCTTTCTGATAGCCACAACAGGAAGTGAGAGGAAGTTTCTACAAAGAGAAGTAAATCCCTGGTGGTCATCACAGAACTAGTGTCTCCATTGGAAGAGTGTTCATCTTCTCTTGTTCTGATGACAACCCACAATTTAGGATTTTCTTTAACTTTTAGGGCCCAGTCACACCATAAAGAGTGCGTTCCGGAGCATTCGGCCACTGGAATGCAACCCGGCCGGCTCACTTTGTTTTGGGGCGGGAGAGGGTGTGGTGGTGCATTGAAGTCAATGGTACAGCAGCTGAGGTACTTTGACATTTATTCATGCAACGCTGTACTGAAATGCATTATATATAATTTTTTGGGACACATAGAGCTTTCATTTGGTGGTATTTAATCACCACTGCGGTTTTTTATTTTTTACTATAGAAAGTAAAAAAAGTAGTGAAAATTTAAAAAAAAACTTTTCCCTACGTTATTAAAATATTTATTTTTTAATTTATTTTGGAAAATATAAAAGACGGGGTCACATTGGGTAAATAAATACCAAACACGTGGAGCCATAAAATGACGTGCACCTGTGAAACAGCAAAAAAGCTACCAGGCCCAAAATTTCCAATAGGTTACGCTTTAAAAGCTATTACCAATCATCAATGTGACTTACATTTTTTTTTTTACTCTTAACTTTATTGCTATCACATAAAAGGGCTAACAGCACAGATGTAGTGACAGGTCTTCTTTATGGAGACATTAGGGGTCTATTAGACCTCTAATGTCATCTATGGCCCCTCAAAGAAGCTGAGGAAGCAGAGTTCTGCTTCACCAGATTCTTCTCCGACTACAGCAGCTGCAGAAGTGACACACTGAAACCGGAAGTAATGTAATTCATGTCACTTCCGTTTTCAGTGATCGGAGGGGATATCAGCCAATGGAAGTGTGCAGATCTTCCCTCTGATCTCAGTGTAGAGGCCCGCCATGCCGGTCCTGGGCCCTGCATATGGGACAGCAGAAACAGAGATGACTGTCAGAGGCAACAGAAGGGGGCGCACTCCATACAAGCGAGCGGGCGGTTCTATAAGTGCTTGAACGTTTGTATGTAACATGCGTTGTCAGCAGTTTGAAACTAGGGAGCGCACACGAGCAGAAAAAAACATTGTTACGCCAACCCGCTGTCAAGAGCGAGCCGTCCGTCTATTTATATACAACGGGCAGAGGCAAGCAGTATCAGTGAAGATACTGTAGCCATCAACAAAGGGGGCAGGTCTGGAAACCATAAAGGCTGATAGTGATGAGGGGTGGAGGGGCCCTGAACACAGATGAAAGGCTTACACGAAGCATAAACCCTACTGATGCTGACAGGCAGATCTAAATGTGCACAAATACTTCCATAGGTACCGTGTTTGAACTCTAAGGGGGCGATTTATAAATCTTACACCCAGCGTATAGCTTTGTGAATGCCGTCCGCACGGCACTATCGCTACTTGATGGAGCTGAGGCGCATAGGAAATTCCTGGGAGAGGGTAAAAAATACAAAAAGGTGCATTTTTGAATTCACAAACATCACACGAAGGGGGTTAAAGGCACTGGGGTTAAAGAAACGTCTCATTTCACAGTGATTGGATTGTCTCCTATACAGCATGCAGTTGAATCGCAGGATTTTTCATTTGCCCTTCATGTATCCCAGAGCTCTCCTGTCAATCTGTTACAGATGCAGCAATCACCTCCGTTAGCTCGGGGCCAGTGTTTGGTGACACCATGGCGGACATGTCCCACACAACTCAGGATCAACGATCTATACCAAGTGTATTATTTGTTGCCTGGTTTTGCATCACAAGATAATCTTTTAAGGGGCTACCCATTAAACAAGAGTGGGACAATGGTCCCTTATAGTATTGTTCAGCAGACTGAAGTTCCACCATTCCAATACACTGGTGTTTATAGAACGATACTATCAGGGTTATTCACAAAAGGGTGAAGAGTTTGGAGAAGGCAGGATAAGTGAACAATCTAGGACAACATAGCTGAACTGGAAAATGTTTCAAATTCAGCTCACTTTCCAGTTCAGCTATGTTGTCCTAGATTGTTCACTTCTCCAAACTCTTCTCCTTTTGTGAATAGCTTTGTATATCTGTGTGGTTGTGATGCAATACCAGATTTCAGCAGCAGGGGGAGCCAGTGACATCTAAAAACCTCTTAAAACAGAGAGCACAACACGAAAGGATGATTTGCACCATTGCCTTCTATTGGCTAGTGTTAGGTAAGATGCAGGCAAAATGTGGAATTTCAGCACCTGTTCTCAGTAAAACCCAGAATCCATTAGGAAAATTCCAATAAAAGTATATCTGAAACCAAACCTTTTTGGGGGGGGGGGGGGGGTGGGGGGGGTAGG